GAACAAATATATACTGACAATCAAAACATCATACTTGGTTAAATAATGAAAATAGCTGTAGCTAAACTTATTTTGTATTCACATGCATTGAACGTTTTATGAATAAAAGTTGTTCCTTGGGCGAGTCATCTAATTGTTTGTATTTCGATGAGTCAACTTCGTAGAACTCAATTAGGGTGAAACAAAAGCATAAAGTAAAAAGAGTCTAATCCTTTAACAATAGGCTTTGTGACAGAAAAACTATATTTTATGAATAATTAGCTTTTATTAGGATTAAACTTTGATGTAAAATATAGGTAATGTACTCTTGAACCTCAAAATCACTCGAACCTGGTGCAATCCAGCAAACAAAAATAGATATGGCTGACCACCCCTCCCCCTACGGAACCTCACTGGAACCTCACCTATAGAATACGTCGCCGTTATTACGGGTCCGGTGTAGGGTCAGGGGGAGAGCACCGGTTCGCACCGGTGGCACCGGGTGCAGAACCGCCATTTCATATCTACTACTACATCAGCCAATGCCACCCAAACAAATTTGAAATCAAATTCACGAATCATGAAGTAGAGAGAATCATGATTAATTTTAACTCTGAATAACAGGATGGAGACGATTTTGAAGTTATATAATATATGCTTTTACTAGTAAAGGGAAATATAAAAATTTGTGCATATTCTATTTTTTAAATATTCCATCATGATTGACTAATTTGTATGAAAATTTGTCTGGGTGACCTTGGATATCGTTAGTAGGAATATGTATAAGGAAATATTATGAGCCAATATAAACTTGAATGAGATAGGAAATTCGCGAAGCATTGTGGTAGTCCTAGGAAGAGATCGGTATGCCATCATGTAAACGCTTTATTGGTTTCTTGCTTTTTGTTTATTTGCCTCAAGGCGCGATTGAGCAATATCCTCTGCAACTAAGCAATCGTTGCGAACTGAAAGTAGAATTCGTTCCTATTTTTGGCAACGATTGCGTCTTCGTTGCACCGTGTAAACACTCTTACAACTTGTGTCGCAACGCTATTTCACGACAAGTTGCAGAGAAAATAGCTGTATGTAATTAATCGCACCTAACAGTAATACGTATTCCTAAAACTCTTGTGCAAAGTGAAGTACTCCTTTGTAAAAAAAACAAAAAAACAAAAAAAAAAAAAAAAAAAAAAAACATCCAATGACAAAATCTTAAACAGTCGAAATATTTCAGTCTAAAATCCAAGAATGTTGCTGTTGAGTCCAAGGTTTTTGCACTTCAAGATACATATAAAAGTACTGAAAAAGTCGATGTACGTGTGGGGGAAGTCTGTTAATTGTTTGGCATGGATTACTTAATGATGAAGGACCTTTCAGTGTTTATTTGTTGACGCATTATGTACCTAGCAACCAAAACTTAGGAATGCGGAAATCGTTTAGATGGGTCAGGTTTACTTCATCATGCCGAGTTCTGTGGCCTTGTCTTCGGGTCTACTTTAGTCAGACCGATCTTCGGAAAATTAAGTTCAGTTTTACATTCACATTATTTGGCGTTTCCCCCTTTTTCTCGGCGCCTATCAAAATGTTGGGGAAGATCGAGTTCGTTTTTCCGTAGCGGGGGATGAGTGGGGTGGAAAGCGGAATAATGGAGATATCAATGCTACAGCCTGACTATAGATTGTCTAGTAAAACATTAGTACTTAGTGTACAAGAACTTTAGTAATAATTTAGCTCGAGCCTTTAGCGGCGTCTAATTCACTTGACTCTACTCAAGTCAGCTGTCCTCCTTCCTGAGTACAAGTAGACCCTAGACAAACCCTTTATGTGTCCGAAGACAAGCTTGAACCTTACTCGAGTTTGCCTAAGTTTTCATCGATCGAGAACTAATTCTAGTGAAAATTAGTCTGCTGACAATGCTGCTTCTAATAGTTATATACCTTCAAGTATTTTGATTGTGTCATCAAGAGAGCGCAGTTTAATACGAAATCGCTACTTGCACTATAGAGCGTTGTCACGTGACGTCACAGCGGCCATTATGGGGTACCAAAACAATATTTTCTATCCTCCGGGATCCGGAATTGAACTCTATTTTTATGCAAATACTGTGCAGAAAGTTTCAATTTTTTATGGCTGTCTTCTCACGTGAGTGAAAGCGCTCTATATGTTTTATCGATACGTTTTTGCTTCTTCACATGCACTTTTTGTAAATGTTTTTTTTTTTTTTGCAGGAATAAGCCACAAAAACGTTTCATGAATCGTATTTGTTCTTCCACTGACTCATTACTCATACTCCCGTTTCACTCAGGAATCTTATTATTTGACCAGTGCATCTGTTGTTCCACTAAATATTGGTCATCCAAGGAAAGATGTCAATCAATTGAACTCATAAAAATATACCATGCAAATTCATTTAAAATAGTACAAATAATAAAACTTTGACAACGGTAGAAGTTAGAGATATTATTTTAGCTTAGAGTACAGAAACAGGCAGGTTTCGTGATATTATTTTTGAGGATATGTGAAGTTCAATAGTCATTCGAAATTCCATTGGCGAAATAACATAATAGATAGCCACTTCGGCAAGAATAGAATTATATTACAAAGAATTAAGATGCAGTGTTCAAATAAATTAAACCATAAATCGATGGCAAAGATATTGAGGAAAAAAGGATAAAAAGTTTCGAGAAATACAGAGGCAAATTTTATTGTAAGCTATATTGATAGCAAGAATATCGAGTGTCATCGTGACAATACAGGCCGAAGTTTTAACATAACATTGACAATCCTGGCAATCTATCTAAAATAGACTAAGGTATATTTACTCAGAATGTACTAACTCATAAACCACGAAAAATATTCTTTTTAAAGGAGCAAGCATAAAAAAGTTTGATAAAGATGGAGCAAGATATATTTGCCTAAGTAATAAGCCGTCAATCGAGAATATGTAAACAAAAGAAGAAAAAAAACATTAATGCTGAATTTCGCTAATTATTTACTACAAATTTTAAGCCTTTTTGGAGTAAAATTTAGTGTAAACTAATAAACTGACAGCTCCAGTATAAACTGAAAACGGGGTAAAAATAAAAATAAAAAATTGAAGTATTTGTGTTCGGATTCAAATAAGAGGAATTTTAAGCGCGAGGTAAATCGATTTATTGACATAAGCATGATTATTCTTACTAATCATTTTTCTTTGTATGTATACTCACATATTTTCGGTATCCTTAGGTATATTTTTCAATTCTTTCTCTCCCAAGTTTCCTTGGCAGGATATAGATGTGTCTTGACAACTACATCGCTTGAAATTGCAGGCTGAGTGGTCCGGGTCGGCTAAGACTGTGAAGAAAGATGGCTGTGGCAAACACACGGAAATGATGGCGATGTACAGTAGCAAGCTCATCGAACAACAGCTTTCCATCATCAGGCAAGGATTACAGTGAACGATTAACCCAACCAATGTCTTTGAATTCAAGAAGAAAGCTATATAGCTAGTTCAGGACCGTACACAGCCAGTAGCTAGGACACCAGTAGCTACAGATTAAGCGTACGTAGCCAAAATGGAGTAAATACGAGATCCAAGTACAAATCACCAAAACTGTTTTATACCAAGTATCACAAATAACTAGAGGTTAAATTTTCTATAAATTTATCTTGGCATCGAATTCACTGTCATGTTGACTGGCGGAGCGAAGTAGACCTGAAATTTATATAAGAAGCAATCAAGCCGTGATCATAAAGCGTTTGGCCGTAGAATGACGTACGACATTAGCGAATGCAAATTTTTCAAAAGGACCTACCACAGGAAGCCCAATATCTTGACTTGGTAGGGAGCAACGAGCGGCACCGAGGATGAGCATTTCAATTACCGGATGCATCATAAGTACTAAACGTTTTTACGCCTCAGTTTACGAATTCCCAACCCCACCAAAAACAAACACCATCCACAACAACAAAACAACAGCAAGAAACAAGTCTTCTTCTTCTTCTTTTTTTTTTTTTGAATGAGCATTTTTTTTGCGTAGATTTTTGACCAAAAAGAAACCTCTGCTGTAACACGATGCATTGTTTCAGATTAAAGTCACTGGCGTCGATCCCTACCCACGCTTTTTCTACGGAACGCACGTCGCAGTAGAGGTATCAGCATTCCAAACTGTTGCCATGGGCACTGATAAATTATTGATATGACACTTGTTTCATCAAAGATGCTGAGATGGTTGAGGGGTAATGATTCTCAATTTATGAAAAACTGGCCAATAAATAATGTCATACCCCGGTGGACTGTGCACCGATCTTCCCTACTGAATCTTTCAAACTGCAGCAGGAACCGCGAAGAGGAGAGGAGGCTACCTGCGAGGGCTGTATATACAGCTTTCAAAAAAGGTTGATTAATATATGTTGTTGGATGTTGCATCTTGCTTCAGCTAAGCTTGATATTCAGATGTAAGGTGAATTTCACTATAACCGCAGTCAATTTGTTAGCTTTGCTTTCCGAAAGTTATCGTTGTTGTTGTTTTGTTGTTGTTTTGTTGTTGTTTTGTTGTTGTTTTGTTGTTGTTTTGTTGTTGTTTTGTTGTTGTTTTGTTGTTGTTTTGTT